ACATGAAGCGCAGTCCAGTGTTCCATGTAAGGCTGAACCAGCAGCAGAACCGCTCTGGAATGCTCTCTCTCTCTCTCTCTCTCTCTCTCTCTCTCTCTCTCTCTCTCTCTCTGCCTCGCTCTCTCTCTCTCTCTCTCTCTCTGCAGCCAAAACACATCCTCCTAACACCCGTCCACAGCTGGCCTGCTTCTCCTCAACTTTACATTTGTTTTCTCCTTGTGTCCATATGATCAAGGCAGCTTTTAGGCAGCAACAATACAGATTTCTTCATTTCAGGCTTAGGGTTCAGTCAAAAGTATGCTTCAGCTGTCCCTTTGCTGCTACGTCTTGCGCACAGTATAATTTACATACATTTCATCATCAGCGGGGTCCGTACGAACTGAGAGTGTAAAGACAAACTTTCCAGCCTCTCTCATGTATGTGGGCGTCATCTGCGCATGTACCTTATTTCTAAGAATTATTCAAGGAAGATTTTAAAAAATACAGAAGAGGTACTGAATGTGAAAAACAAAAATGGATATGTGAGAAGATCTCCGGTTTTAAAGAGTATAAAGATTGCAACATTTCCATGCTGTCCTCCACAAGTGGAGTGTCACAACGCAGTCATAGTGCGTATGCATCCATACAGCTTCAGGATCGGGGAAGTGTATTGAGAAAGTTGTGAGATGTGTGAGATGTAACATTAAGCGGATAAACAAAGCATCACACAAAGCAAAAATGAATTCTGTTTCATACATGAAAGATCCAAACAAACTTTAGTTTAAAGTCAGGCTTAAACCCCTCTTAAGTCAAACAAACTAATCTAGGAAGGTGCTTTTTTAATGTGGTTTACACGTGTAAATGTGTTCCAGGAAAACTAACTTTTTGGCAGTTACTGGTTACTACACAAAGCAAAATGTAACAAACAGGTCATAAATAGATAGGCTTTCTCCAGATTAGGAATCAGGATTATATATACTCACAGAAATTTGAAGCAACCCGAGTGGTATTGTGGTACAAACCAGTTGCTTGATACTTCAGCCTAACTTCAGGCATTAAGATGATTGACAACTTTATTATGGTAAAATATTGCTCATTTTGCATTCAATTATTTACAGCAGGCAAATAATCCACTATTCTTTTGCACAACATTGAATCAAAGTATTAGCCTCTGAAAATATCTCTTACGCAGTTTATCTGGAATTCCTACACTGCTGTTTTTCGTCACTGTCATACTAATGTAAATTTGTTATCTTTTGCTCAGATTTCTGAAATTTAACCACAGCATCCCTCATCCTTTCAGACATAAAAGCCACAACCTAAGGACAAAGAATGTTCTTTATTATGGCATACAAAAATTCTTGCATACTTAATTTAGAAGTGATCATTTTCTGAAATTAAGAAGAATGTCAGCATGGGAAGAAGGTATGACAGTGTCTTGAGATTTAGCATAATTCACCACATCAGAGAGTGTGATATTATTTATGAAAGAATGCAGAATAATAGAGGTTGTTTCTCAAGGGAGAATATTGTGCTGCAAGCAGTTGCCTCTATCATCCATAAATCCTTTCACAAAGTTTTTCCACAAACTAAATGTCTCATGACTGGTTTATGCTGCACTCCGGGTTTAATGTGCACTTATTTACAATGCTCCTGAAAGATATAAGCATAAATACTGTCAATAATTTGAACTGATAACATTTCTTCAGTATGTGTATACTATGTGTATATGTGTTACCCTTGATTTTTGCTTTTACTCATACAGAAACCATGGGAACACCGAAGACACTTTAATATTATGCATTTTATTAGGCAGGTGAGCAACTGTTTGGATACATTTATCAACAGAAAGCTAATTATTGATATAGCGCAACAATAGTCTTATTGTTTGAATCTGTGTTCTTGATTTACCACGAGTAACATGTTCGTATCATGCCTGAGAGACAATGTTATTTTGTCAAGTGGCTCATCATATAATATTATTTTATATGAATTGCATGCCATTTAGCAACTTTTATTAATATGATATTCTAATATCGATCTAGCTTACTACAGTGTGCAACAAGTGTCTCATACCTGCCCCGAGCAAAAGTACAGAGTAACGTTCAAACATAACTTTTAGCTCTTGAGCTGAAACCCGGTACAATGCATCTTCCCCCTTGAGGTTAATGTTTATTGTACGCTGTCCCTGTTTCTCTAAATAAAAAAATAAAAAAATAAAAAAATATATATATATTTTTAATATGATTGTTTTAACCAAGTAAAACAGCACTCTGTTACCCCACAATTTAATTAAATAAAGATAAAGTCAGATAAAGTGCCTGTATGAATAGTAATTCAGCACACACGGCTATTTCACTAGAATGAAATAAAATAATGTTAATTTAAGATATCAAACATAATTGTAACACATATAAACAAAACATAACATAAATGTCCAGGCCTGGTCCTCTCTCGTCCTTCACTGTCGTCGCTCCTCCGTGAGAGATACGAGACCGGTGCGTCGCGCAGGTGTCGCTCATTATCAGACACGGCCCTCGGCCTGCTCGCCACAGTGGACATTAAATGCAACTATAATAGTAAGAAAAACAAACAAAACGACAGGAGTGACAGTGGGCGACTGTGGCATTCAAGCACAATAAAAACAGCAGTGTAAAATTTTCCAGGCTCTCGGCCCCACCCTGCTTCATAATACAGTAAGGTTATTAACCTATATACATATATTAGATTTCCGCCCGAGTCCGTCAGACTGATTTCCATCGGCTGGCTGTGTTGGTGAATAGTTAAGACGACAACGCCCAAGATTCCACACTCATTTATGGCGTCATCAAGCTACGCCTTTGTTTTGAATAAATGACCTCTAGTGGCGGAAATTACAGGAATTTCGGGGAAGCATGGCATTAGTTTTCACTGTTATGCTGATGATACTCAGCTCTATATTTCTTCGCGCCCCAGCGAAACTTACAAATTCACAAAATTAACGGAATGCATAGCTGATATAAAAAATTGGATGACTAGTAATTTCCTACAACTTAATTCTGACAAAAACAGAGTTTTTAATGATTGGGCAAAAACCTCATGACGTAGTAACCTAGAATACTGTCTAACACTTGATGGCTGCTCTGTCAAGTCTTTGTCGTCGTTTAGGAACCTGGGTGTGTGTGTGTGTGTGTGTGTGTGTGTGTGTGTGTGTGTGTGTGTGTGTGCTCTATGATACCAATCTTTCATTTGAAAGCCACGTTTCTAGCATCTGTAAAACCGCATTCTTCCATCTTAAAAATATATCTAAATTACATCATATGCTCTCATTGACAAATGCGGAACAATTAGTTCATGCGTTCATGACCTCAAGGCTAGATTACTGTAATTCTCTGCTGGGTGGTTGCCCTGCACGCTTAATAAATAAACTACAGCTGGTCCAAAACGCAGCAGCTCGAGTTCTTACCAGAACCAGGAAATAGGACCATATTAGCCTGGTTCTGTCAACATACATTTTAAAATCTTGCTAATTACTTACAAAGCACTAAATGGTTTAGCTCCCCAGTACTTGAGCGAGCTCTTAACACATTATAGTCCTTCAGGTATATTGCAATCTCAAAATTCTAGCCAGTTGATAATTAGCACCTACACTTGCATTGTTCGAGAAGCAGACTCACACTGTCAGTTTAAATCTAGAATAAAAACACATCTCTTTAACCTGGCATTCACATAAAAAAACATTACCAATTTCTATTATTCAAATCAGTTAAATGATTGTTAGGCTGCATAAACTTGGTCAGCCGGAACTGGGAACACTTCCCATAACACCCGATGTACTCGTTACATCATAAAAATAATGGCATCTACGCTAATGTTAGTCTCTCTGTTTATCCCGAGGTTTAATGTAGTCAGCCGGATCCAGGCCGTATCCAGATCAGATGGTGGACCTGCGCCTAGACACGACCACAACGCATCCCTGAAGTGTCAGCAGAGGTTGTGTGATCTAGACTCTCCCCTGTGAAGGCCTCATCGACACGACAGCCATCGGCACTGATCCTCAACAAACCCGTCTCCATACCAGTGTGACTCCGATCTTCAACCAGATGGAACTGGATAAATATCCTGAATATTCTGATCCAATCTGACTTCTGACCTGTAATGTTGTCTGAATCATAATCATACACTGTTTGTTTGTTGGCCAGAGCAGAACTGAGCGACTGAGTCTGGGTTCTCCCAAGGGTTTTTTCTCCATTCTGTCACTTTGACTTTTGGTTCCTTGCCACTGGCCTAATATTCAGCAATATTATTGATCTCCTCCACCATTATATGAAAACTGAACTGAGCTGTACGATGACATCACTGTTTTCTCCAGAGCGGCTATATATATAAATGAACTACACTCGGTGACATTCCGCCAACTACTTTACATTACTGGATTTATTTCAAATGTTGAAAAATGTGTTCTTTATTCAGAGTCCTCACAGTAACAGTGACTTTTATAGCCATAAAACTTATAACAGCCACTTGTAAGTACTTGAGGTATGATTGACAGGATGAGATGTTCCTCTCGAACATGTTTTGAACTTGTAGTTTTGGGAGAAAAAAAATATTGCATACCAACACCAGAACATCGTCCCTCTACAAAGCATGAAGGAGGCGGCTGCTCTGCTGGTCATTACACGAGAACCGATGAATTCTGCGTGGCATCAGGAAAATCTAACATAGAATGTTAGGGCATCTGTCTATGAGAGAAAACCTGTTTCAAAACACTGGGAACACTCCAAAAATAGAAGTAAATCCATATTGTATTCAATGACCCACTGCACAGGTCTGAACTGCCGAGAGCCTCAATAGCGCAGGTTCAATCCATTCAAAAACATTATTGTTGGTTTTGTTTAAAGTGCCCCGATTATGGTTTTTCGAATATTCCCTTTCATGCAGTGTGTGATATAGCTGTTTGTGAATGTAGAAGTTCTACAAAGTTATAAAGTTGAAATTGCATGATAAATAAAGTTATTGTCTCCCAAATTTAATCATTTGTTCCAAAACAGCTGATTTTGTCCTCTGTTTATATTGCCCAAACCATTTTATGTTTCCAAACCATTTTATTTTGAGAATGAAACCAAAATCACAGTTTATCTTATGAACATTATAAATATAAACTTCAATTGAAAGTCAATCACATCAGCTGCGACAGAACGGAAGTCTAGTGTCCATTTGCACACTTGTATTTCCGCAGCGGTGCCGCAGTTTGCGGAACAGTTTCTTGACCGGATCTGTGTACTCCCTGTTGGCAAGTCCCAGAAGCAGGGGCACGACAGCAATGCCCCCGACCCCGACACAGGACAGCACAATGTGGCCCGTGCGATCGCTCTTTCCTCCCCGACGAAGCAAAAACTCCATGCCTATATGAGTGTAAACAATGTAGGGCACCCAGCAGGCCAAGAAGGCGAGGGAAACGGCTGCCACACAACAAGCGTAACGCATCTCCAGTCTCCGTCTGTATCCCTTGTTTGCCACGGCCCGTTGCAGACGCTGAATGTCCCTCAGCTGTTCTCGGGTGATCCACAGCACACGGCACGTCATCGCAGCAATGGAGAGGATAGCGGGTGCCAGTAGGCCATACACCTCCAAATAGATGAAAGCATTAGGAAAGACACTTCGGTATGTACAGCAACGCTCTCCAGACAACGCCACGCAGTTCGAATGTGCCGTGCTGTTGGTTTCTGGACAACAACCGTTCCGGTCATGAATAGCCTTGTTGTTCCAGCCGAAGGCAGGCAACAGAGCGAACAGTAGCGGCAGCATCCACGCGGCTAGCAGAGCGAGAGCGAATCGCCGATGCAGCCAGAGTTGTCCACGCCGGAGGGGACTCACGATACTACGATAACGCTCGTAGTGCACCAGTACTAGGTTAGAGAGGAAGGCCAGGAACAGAAAGTTAGGGAAAATGTGCACCAGCAGACAGGAGGAGAAGCTGAGCGGGCGGTTCAGGCCCATCCAGGGAATGAAGGGAAGAGCAACACCTGTGCACAGGTCGGCCACCAGCAGGCTCACGAAGAAGTAGTTCTGCGAGCTGTGAAGCTGACGGCTGCAGGTGATGGCCAGGATTATGAGCAGGTTGATCAGGATTATAGCGCAGGACACGGGCAGCGTGAGAGCATAGATTAGCTGGGCCTCCACATCGCTATCAGAGCTGTTTCGCATCACCGTAGCCATTACCACAACTTTCCACGCAAAACATCCATAGTAAGATGAGTTCAATCTGGGTGAAGAGGACAGTAATACATCATTGATTTAACATTGATTAACAAATCAATACATATTGTTGAACAATGAGACATTATTCCATATTACTACTTAAATTCTGTCAACATAAGAAAAAAATTAGTTTTTCTCCTTCCTCTGAAAGATTTCAGTGCTGATTTGACACATTTTACTCACTGAGAAATGATGACAGCTGTTGTTATTGCCACATTAGCCTTGTTTCCCCTGTCGGCCCAAAGGCTCGTCCGTGAGCTCCCTCTGTTGCTCTGACTGAAGGGATAATATTAAAGTGATCGCTCAAGCCTTCTCAGATCGCATAATTTAGTGGAAAATTAATGTAGCGTAAAATATATTTTAATAGTATTTTTCTAAACATGTAAGCCTTTGGGGTTGTTTTGTGCATTGCTGTGATCACAAATAAATGGAAGCAGGCCTAAATGAATACAAATGCGTGTTATCTTTTTGTGTGAAATAATGATCATCAGTTTGATTCAGCATGTTTGATGTGCACTCCCGGTGTAGTTAGTTTTCAGTCTGCTAGCTTCCCTGTGCTGGTGAAACGGTGGGATTGTGTGACGTTGTTCTGTGGAGGAGTGTTTTAGGGTATCGACAGTGGAAACACAGCTTGATTTTGGGCTCGCGGCTCGAGGTCCGAGGCTATCGGCCCCGCCGGCGCGCTGTTAGCCGCTCGCACTGGCCCTCAAATACCTTTCATAAACAAAGGAACACTTCATTCTTATGACAGCTCTTTTTACACTGCTTAATACCTCTAATATAGTAAGCAGCATAGCAGATCTTCTGATCCTGATAATTCCTCTAGCTTATTTGCACACGTTCAAAAAAGTTTGAGCTGCTAATACAAAAAGGCTACAAGTTCAATACTAGATAAGCATGATCTACCAAGTTAATAGCTATTCTCTGACGTTATCATATTCTTAAGCAAAGAATCAATTCAGTTCCATTTGGAATATAATTGCAATTATTTTTCATTTTCAGCATCTTAAGTACAACTTAAAAATACACATTCAGCTCTGATATATAACACACCTTTTAGTCTATAAAATGTCTTTTAAATGTTTGAATACCAACATAAACATTACAAATAAAAATGGTCCGTGTCCAAGGTTTATATCAGTCGTGAACGAGGAACTCCAGACCATAAATTCAACATTTCTTTATGAATGCCGAGTTTCCTGAAAAGCTATTTATAGACCAAACGAAAAGTCATACAGAAAAGGTACCTTTTGTCACTTGGCTTGAAGTGAAGAGCAGAATTCCTAGGTCCTCATCACCATACTGTCAAGTCAGGTCGTTTAACACAATGTAAGAAAAGTTTGCAGGCAGGATAGTAAACTGCAAAAGGCAATAGTCCATTACAGGTCTGATTCTTCATCAGAGCTCTGCACAGTGAGATCCTCGACAGCTGGAGAGAAACAAAGTTGCTTGTCAAGCGGGGAAAGTGAACGGGGGCAAGTCCAACGGGAACGTGACTCGTAAAACTCTGAGCAACACCCGTACAAACCTACAATAACATGCCGGTGTATGACAGATGCAGACAGAAGAAGATACAGACAGTCTGAGATGAATACAGTGGAGTATCTAACATAGTTAGGCTAGTACTCATGCTCACAACTGATGACATCTAATACCAAATATCATGTTGTGCTGCTGTTTTAAAGCATACATGTCCAACATGTGCATGATACTTTGAGACACAGTAAGTAATCTAACAGCCGTTCTGACAAAATTGGCTTCATGATCATTAGCTGTGCATGTGCAGTTATAAGAGCTGATACAATGTAAGGAACAACCGACAGTATGAGAGACGTCTAGTGTCCTGTGGCATATGCACACTTATTTCACAAGTACTTTCATTAAAACTTCCATTACTACCTAGTTAGTGCTCAAAGAGAAGCATGAAATAAGAGAGCAGCCCTTCCAGGAACTAGGGCCAGTCCCATTACACACACGCGTGATCTCGGACACTTGAGCGAGTGTGTGCACACGCAGGACTGTCCCAGGTCTGATAAATGCCTTAATGCACTCTTGCCAACACCGCTCCTGAGCGCTATTTGAGGATAAGCATATCCCATCATTCATTATGTTCAGGAACTCGCGTCACAGTGACGAGAATTTCTTTCAGGACGTTCAATTCATGCAATATTACATACAGGGAGACAATGTGTATTTTGTAAAACGTTTGCAACTTATCATTTAATTAGAATCACCAGAATTAAATTGTGTGGCCTACTTCAGATATTTAGAAGTTTATTTTAAAGGGCAATTTATTTAAAATAATAATAATAATATTTTTATTTTTTTTAATTATTAAGTGCAAAAGCTCTGTAAAACTTAACTTAGCATTTACACAACACAATAAGTGTGTCCCAATAGACAATCAAAAGTCCTACACACACAATGGCCTTCAGGCACACTTGAACACGAGTCAAATTTACGAGTGGTTAAGAGCAAAGAGTGCAAGTTTGGGGACAGGGAGGGGATTCAGTGGCAAACACGACCTCAGCTGGTTTAACATCACTTGTGTTTATTCACTCATCACATTTCTTGGCATGTTAAATCACAGACAGTTACTTGTTACAAAGGGGAAAAAAGAGGTTGACCACTCATGTTGTTCCAACATGACATTAATTAAATACAGCAGAATGTATGGCTAACCCAATCTGCAATGAACTTTTACCAAGACCGTCCACAGGCAGATCCTAATCTGTGTCACAGCGCGGTGGGAGAAGAATGAGGAAAACTAATCCTTAACAAGCAAACACAGACAGCAGCTTTAATCTGAGCCGATGAGTAAATGTGCAGTTTCACCATAATGATTGTGTCAAAAGTGAATTTCATACAACACGTGGTTAAACGAATGTGGACATCTCTTTCTAATTAATGGGTTTGGTTATTTCAGTCATTTCTGTGAGGACTAGTATTACTGCTACAACACACAGTGAGATGTTTTTAATTGTATTGCAGCAGTTTGTGGAGGTTTGTGAGCCCGTGCAGAAAGAGATGCTTTACTGAGTGAGGAAGAACAATCAAAATGTTCAACAAGACACAAGACATTAAATGATTCTAATCATTTAATTAGAATCACCAGAATTAAATTGTGTGGCCTACTTCAGATTCAGACACTTTAGATTTAGACACAGATGTCGTGATGATGGAGTTAGGGTTAGGGTTAGTCATGCCGGAGCAGAAGATGATCCTCCATAAACGCTGTCGCACACATTTCTCTAGAATGACACTGTCTGGTATAGCATTAATATTTGTTCTCACAGAAATCACTAGAATAGTTTTTGGCTGTATAGTGTCCGTCCCAATTATAAAGATATAAAGATATTAACAAACAGTCCAACAGGAGTACACAGTCATGACATTAAAGACAGAATAGTAGAGCTCTGTTAAAAGTCTATAAAGTTTCTGTTTAAAGGCGATGGTGTGTCAGTGAGGAAGATCTACAGTTCCAGCGCTCGACCGGTCCAGGTCAGGGGTCAGGGTCCGGGGTCAGGGTTCAGACGCTCTACCGGTCCGGGTTAGGGGTCAGGTTCCGTCACTCAACCGGTCCGGGTTAGGGGTTAGGGTTCGGGTTAGGGGTCGGGTTCCCTCGCTCTACCGGTCCGGGTTAGGGGTTAGGGTTCGGGTTAGGGGTCGGGTTCCCTCGCTCTACCGGTCCGGGTTAGGGGTCAGGGTTCGGGTTAGGGGTCGGGTTCCCTCGCTCTACCGGTCCGGGTTAGGGGTCAGGGTTCGGGTTCAGTCGCTCTACCGGTCCAGGTTAGGGGTCAGGGTTCGGGTTCCGTCGCTCTACCAGTCCGGGTTAGGGGTTAGGGTCCGGGTTAGGGGTCAGGGTTCGGGTTCCGTCGCTCTACCGGTCCGGGTTAGGGGTTAGGGTTCGGGTTAGGGGTCGGGTTCCCTCGCTCTACCGGTCCGGGTTAGGGGTCAGGGTTCGGGTTCCGTCGCTCCACCGGTCCAGGTTAGGGGTCAGGGTTCGGGTTAGGGGTCAGGGTTCGGGTTCCGTCGCTCTACCAGTCCGGGTTAGGGTTCGGGTTAGGGGTCAGGGTTCGGGTTCCGTCGCTCTACCGGTCCAGGTTTGGGGTCAGGGTTCGGGTTAGGGGTCAGGGTTCGGGTTCAGTCGCTCTACCGGTCCAGGTTAGGGGTCAGGGTTCGGGTTCCGTCGCTCTACCAGTCCGGGTTAGGGGTTAGGGTCCGGGTTAGGGGTCAGGGTTCGGGTTCCGTCGCTCTACCAGTCCGGGTTAGGGTCCGGGTTAGGGGTCAGGGTTCGGGTTCAGTCGCTCTACCGGTCCAGGTTAGGGGTTAGGGTCCGGGTTCCGTCGCTCTACCAGTCCGGGTTAGGGGTCAGGGGTCGGGTTCCCTCGCTCTACCGGTCCGGTCTCTGCAGGACGAAGACTTTGGCTTTATGATCTCCTCCGGCAGTGACTGCGACTGACGCCTCTCTGTGGACACGACAGACCCAACATCATTAACCATCAAAGAGTTACTGCACAAATTAATATTTTACCCATGATGAAGATAGAACACATCAAGGAAGCAAAGCATGTTCAGTCTTTAATTAGAATTTTATGGACAAACTTGACAAAATTTGAAAGAATGATATTGAAAATATCTTGGATAAAAGCGTCTGCTAAATGAATAAATGTAAATATAAATCTTCATCGCAGGTCTTCTGGGTTTGAATCCAAAAAAAATGACAGGTATGTACTATGTTTCAGGAATGGCACAAAGGTGTGTGACTGTTTAAGTCTCTGTCTTTAGATCAGTGTGTTCAATAATGTGCTTTTTTGTCCTTTGTTGTGTATCTTTGGATTATGTTGTGTTGTAAATAAATCCAAACAATCAAAAAGCCATTCTTTTTTAAGTCTCTCCTCATTCTTTGTGCAAGGCTCCTCATGATGATAGGGCCTGATTGCACCGTATAGGGCCATTAGGGGAGGGTCTTTGTCTTTCTCAGGTGTGAAACATCAATATTCATGATGATTCACGCCTCCTCGCATAGAACTTTCTTACACAAAACATTACAAATGTCTTACAAATGTTAAATCAATATATTGTTTTATCTGAATGAGTACGCTGGATGATTTTCAGTTTTGAAGCAAATGTTCTAGGCTACATGATACAATCTTCAAAAGTCTTGTGAAGAAATAATCAGTATGGGTTTCATGACCTTATTTCAGTGACATTTTTTTTGTTTTTTTCACAAACCACGCATAAACGTCATTATCTCAAAACTAAAAACCTTTACATACATGCTGCTGACATATTATTGTAGCAGAGTTTGTGCTGAATACAGTGTAATCAGACTTTATAGCCATGAAAATGTCACGAGTAACAGAAATAAGCACAAATGTCAGAGCATCTCCAGGACCCAGAAAACACCTCAGACCCAGAGGGTTAATGTTTTCAATAGGGCTGCAACAACTAATCGATAAAATCGATAATAATCGATTATGAAAATCGTTGTCAACGAATGTCATTATCGATTAGTTGGTCTGCTTACGTCACGGGGAGGGTTTACTGGTGATTGGTTGAAACAGGCCAATCAGGATGCTCTCTGTCTTACACGCGCTTCATGAGGCACATACGCACACACGCAAGGCCTCTCTCCCTCTGCTGCTCTGCCGCGCGCTCGCGCTACACGGTTTGGAGCACAGTCTCTTCTGTCTCGCATGCGCGCTCAAATCCCGGGAGTTTGAACTAATTTGCGGGCATCAGGGAGCCGCATAAGCCGCTATCAATATGCGGGTGACTCCCAGAACTTCCGGGAGACTTGGGATGTCTGTATTTTGTCTCGAGCATCAGGTTGCGCAATCAGTTCGCTCGCAACAAAAGCGATGGATTAAAATAGCGCTACCGCAGAAATAGGTTAAATTAAAACGGTCGTTACAAAGCAAAGCACTAAATATAAAGGCAGTTAATAACAGCAGCAGTAAAAGATTGTTTTAGTAACTGTACTCAGTGGTTTTCAGCGAATGCTTGTGCACTACTGCATCATTTTTCCTGTCTTTTTAATCAAGCCTGTTAGCTTGCTGCGTACCTCCATTCCGTTCTCTATTTATAGCATTTGTCTATTAAGTTTGAATTGTTTTTCAAACGCGATCTACTGCAGCTCTGTTCACACGCTTGTTTTCAGTCTTTCTATATTTATTTTATCAATGTATCCTTATAATTCAATTAATTTTAAATAAAAATTAAATGAATTATATATTTTAGATGTTTTTAGTTTATATCTTCACATCTGAACAACATGTCTGTGTAAATTTGTTTTAACAAAAATTGTGTTAAAACAATATGTTGGATATAAATGTTTTTTTTTTTTTTTTTTACATTAATCATGGTTGTCAACTTGCCATCAGCAATTATCATTAAAAACAATGCAAATATTGATATTACTAAAACTCAATGTGTGGCTTTTGCACTTTTTAAAGTACACTTTTACACATAAATACCCTAATTTAGGGTTTTAGGTAACACTTTATTTTACGGTGTCCTTGTTACATATGTTACATGTACTTACTGTAGTAATAACAGTAAATTATGCATAATTACATGCAACTAACCCTCAACCAAATCCTAATCATACCCTATTCCTATAGTAAGTACATGTAGTTCCTTAATATTACTCTGTACTTAAATATATAATTACACTGTAACAAGGACACCTTAAAATAAAGTGTAACCGGGTTTTATTTAGTCAATAAACAAAAAAATCAAATTGAATTTATCCGATTAATCGATTAATCGAAAAAATAATCGTCCGATTAATCGATTATCAAAATAATCGTTAGTTGCAGCCCTAGTTTTCAACTAAAAGAAAACCTGAAGATATATAGTAATACTGTTATGTATATTGCCTAATTGTAAGCTCGTTCAGAAATGGTGACAAAAAATTAAAACAATTTTTAAAAATAATGGCTTTAAAACGTCATTAAAATAAACGAATTTAAATAAAATTCGTTAACGTTAAACGTCATTTAAATAAACGAATATTCGATTTTTATGAGCACAAATATTCTAATACAATATTTTAGAAAAATGCCCATCCCTAGTTAAAATTGCAAACACAAGTCTTTGGTTGCGGTCGAAGTGTTAGCTAACATATTGCTTTGGTCAAAAAGAGCAGATACCAAACGCACCAGATGCCAAAACGTTGCTATGGTTACCACTGCGTGAATCAATTTCGGGTACGAGTCGTTTTCTGCACACATGGAATGATAATTTAGGGAATCCAGATGTGACTAGTGTTGCACGATATACCGGTACTAGAAAGGTATCCCTGCTAATAATAACGGTACGATATGAAATTTTATTAGTACCGGTACTTTAAGAGTGACAGCACTCTAAATAATAAGAGCAGTATTTCTTAATTTGCGTTGCTGTGTGACATCAGGACGTGTGCAGAGCTCTTCTACCACTGTTTACATTCATACGCGCAGCACTTGACAAAGAAACATGCATGCATGCATGAGAAAATAAAGCGCGGGACGTGCTCAGACCTGAAGCGCACGCACACGCCTTTCACACAGCGACTTCAGGTCTCTTTCGCGGATCATTAGGTTTGAATAGTCAAAATTCTATGTAAAAATGCACGTCCTGGCGAGTATTCGCGTAAACACAGTCGGTATGTCTTTGTTGAACGTAAACCGTTTGTAAAAAGAAATCGTGTGTTCCAACGTGCAGGTCTTAAAGCCTAATATTCTGTGTGATTAATGTTAGTCAAACAACAAAAGAAAATAGACAATCACTCAGTGCTTGACTGAATACATTTAATCTATTTATTAAGAATCAGTCTAGTTCATTTATAGAGTGAAGACTTTATTTTTTCAGCCACAGTAGGTCTATTTAACAATAGCATTAAAAAAAATTAATCACTGTTTATTTGATTTGTCTCTTAGTATTTGATATATTGTTAGTAATTTCCTTTTTTGCTTTTTAAACCCATTTTAACGGCGTAATTTTTTTTATCGTGTGATTAACGGTCTTTTTGGCCAAGCAAACTTTGTAGTTTTTTCCACATGCTTTTGCAACAGGACGCGGCATGCGCGCGCGGCGCTGCGCTATGAAACCCATTCATTTCAATGGCTTGCGCCGCGCGAGGACGTTTTGTTGCTTCGTCGACCAAAGCGCAAGCGGATCGAGCTAGACTGGAAACAAAACAACAGACACGCCGCACACACTCGTTTGGGCTTGCGAGCCGGCCAAATAGTTGGTTAACGTTACGTTTTGAGTGGATGCCGAGCGCAAGACGCCGAAATGGATGCCAATAAGATTCTGAATGGAAAGTTTACTTTTAAAAAGTTGCCAAATGGTTCCATTGACAAGACCAAAGTGATCTGTGTGTTTTGTCGTTGTGAACTGAGCTATCATCATCGCAGCACGTCCAGTCTGAAACACCACTTGATGGCCAAGCACACACACACACACACACACACACACACACACACAGCTGATGAGAATTCTCCGCCCCCTCGTCAATATCAGGACCTCGTCAGTATTTCTTTCACCCTTTTATTGATGGACAGTGTTACATTGAGAGATTATTTGCTCCAATGATGTTAGTGTGAAATTGAAAATGTTGTTTTCAATAAAAAACATTTGCACAAAGCAAGCCGATCCACTTTTCCATGTTGATAAGAGCATTAAAATTAGAAAAAATAATGGTACAAAAAGAAATCAAGAGACATTTAGAATAGATAAAAATGTGTGATTAATTGCGATAAATCGCAAGTTAACTATGACATTAATTCGTTTGACAGCACTAGTAATTATAAAACGACATTTAAAAAATATGAAATGACTCATATCTTGAAATAAGATTTTAGTCATCCCAACCTGTTCAGAATTGTGAAAGGTTAGCGAATATTAGCATGATTGACAATAATATCAATGTTGCAAACATCTCTGTAAGGACGCACACACTGGCATGTAATTATTATTATTTTATTTAATAAAGGGGAGGGTATGGTCAAAAAGCAGGGCAGGAACATGCTGGTCAAGTGAGTTCAGTATTTTTTAATTAATTTATAAAACAATGAATTGTAAGGTCTGTTATATTTTTCAATTACTTTTACTGTTTTAGTTTTTTTCCCGTGGTATCGATTCAGTATCGGTATCGAGGTATTTTTGTCTGGTATCGTATCGAAGTCATAATTTAGGTATCGTGACAACACTAGTTGTGACTCCTAAAAACTTTAAACTCTGGCGAAACAGGAGCTTTATTCAACTATGTGAAATAAATAAAACACCCATTTCAGAATCTCCACTTGTCAGTCAAACACGGTTTAAGCTTTTGAAATCTTATGTACATTATTGCATTAGTGATAAATAAACTAATTATAAAACGTATTTAGTTTATATGCAAAGCAGCACATTGTCACATGAGCTCTTTCTCTTATAGGCATCAATGTCACAAAGACTGCAAAACAAAACCTGATGGCCTCAGTTTAACACACACCTGTTCAGCACGAAGTCGAGGACCTCAGCAGTGTGTCCACGATACTCCGACACCAGGATTCCTGATCGCGCGTCCCACAGAGTCACGACACCAGCCAGATTACAGGTGGAGACCACAGCAGACGCCTCTTCCCACTGCAGGTGGACTAACCCAACCTGACACACACACACACACACGTCATATAAGGCAAGACGTTTATGTGCCATATTTAAATGTATTCTCAGCTTTTACCTCATGTTTACACCGATGTCTGAGGCTCTGTGAATTCATATCATAAATGGCCAGTGTGCCGTCCAGATACGCAACAGCAACTAGAGGCAACCTGGAACACAGCAAAACACTTTTAATAAGTCAAGTCACATCTATATATTATGAATGAAACCAATCCACAACCTGATTCCTGAGTTGTAATGCTGCCTGAATCATAATCACACACTGTTGGTTCGTTGGCCAGAGAACTGAGCGACTGAGTCTGGTTCCTCACAAGGGTTTTCCTCCATTCTGGATTCATTATTTGGAGAAACTTAATATTCAACAGTATTATTGATCTGACTGAGCTGATGATGACATCACTGTAGAACTGCTGTATAGATTATCATATTTGATGAACTTTACAGTTACACTGAACTGACCTCAGCTGATCTGTTTGCATCATTGCTCATTATTTAAATCTAAAGCTGCTTGTATTGTATTAAGCGCTACAGATATAAAGGAGGTTTACATCGACCCTAATAATAGGATTAGTAGAACAGTTGGAATTAAAAGAAAAGTTTAATGTAACCACGTCAATCAGAATAAATCAGCCAAATCAGATTTAAATTTCATTCAAATTTTAAGGGGTGGTTTAACCCTTTTCTAATCCATTCAATAGGACACGTAAACACTTGATTGGAAACTGGAAAGTTTTGCGCATGTGCATTGATGTAGAAATGGCGTAATGACGTATGAAGCACAGAACGAGTTCTCCTTCCACTCATCGTCTGTGAAGAGCAGCACAGTGTCGTCCCAGCAGCCCTTGCTTCAGACTCATCCACAGACGCTTGTTTTGGGCATTTTTACTGCTTAATAAATATAAGCAGTGCTCGTCGTCTCCTAATCACAAGTCAATGTTGGGTGAATTGATGTTACTCAATTAAAAAGCGGATCTTGTGCTCGGAGACTGGCTGTGACTGGGTGAGATCATTGAGGATCGTGGATGAAGTCTGACTGGCTGATCAATGTGTGTTTGCACTACATCAAAACACTACAACATACTTATGCCTGGAGTAGAGATCATATGCTTTACTTACACATTACAAAATCCCACAGATTCTACAGAGTTGGAATCCTGCTCCTGCATCGAGTCTTTTGCTTCAGTGTTTTCACTGGAAAATGAACATAACACCTAAAGAAGAAAATAAATCAATCACACTGCAAGCAGAACATGTGGAGCTCTCTGATGGCGTTCAAGTGCTAATCTACATCGGATCACATCCATTTATAATGCTTGGAATCCACACTGAACGATAAGGATATTCCTCACATCCAGATCTGTAATTGTCTCGCTTCATGACACTCACAATATGATCAATACTAGGGGTTCGTTTCAATAAGGAGGTTCAACCCGAGCTAAAACTTGAACTCTGAGTTGACTAATCCTTGAGATGGGAAACTCTGAGTTTTCAGTTTTTGAACAGCTGAATTGAGTTAGTTGAGTTGACTGAGCGGACTGGGACTCGACTCGGAGCGGACTGGGACTCGACTCGGAGCGGACTGGGACTCGACTCGGAGCGGACTGGGACTCGACTCGGAGCGGACTGGGACTCGACTCGGAGCGGACTGGGACTCGACTCGGAGCGGACTGGGACTCGACTCGGAGCGGACTGGGACTCGACTCGGAGCGGACTGGGACTCGACTCGGAGCGGACTGGGACTCGACTCGGAGCGGACTGGGACTCGACTCGGAGCGGACTGGGACTCGACTCGGAGCGGACTGGGACTCGACTCGGAGCGGACTGGGACTCGACTCGGAGCGGACTGGGACTCGACTCGGAGCGGACTGGGACTCGACTCTAGCGAGTAGACTGAGACTCTAGCGAGTAGACTGAGACTCTAGCGAGTAGACTGAGACTCTAGCGAGTAGACTGAGACTCTAGCGAGTAGACTGAGACTCTAGCGAGTAGACTGAGACTCTAGCGAGTAGACTGAGACTCTAGCGAGTAGACTGAGACTCTAGCGAGTAGACTGAGACTCTAGCGAGTAGACTGAGAATCTAGCGAGTAGACTGAGACTCTAGCGAGTAGACTGAGACTCTAGCGAGTAGACTGAGACTCTAGCGAGTAGACTGAGACTCTAGCGAGTAGACTGAGACTCTAGTGAGTAGACTGACTCGGAGTGAGTAGACTGAGACTCGGAGTGAGTAGACTGAGACTCGGAGTGAGTAGACTGAGACTCGGAGTGAGTAGACTGAGACTCTAGCGAGTAGACTGAGACTCTAGCGAGTAGACTGAGACTCTAGCGAGTAGACTGAGACTCTAGCGAGTAGACTGAGACTCTAGCGAGTAGACTGAGACTCTAGCGAGTAGACTGAGAATCTAGCGAGTAGACTGAGACTCTAGCGAGTAGACTGAGACTCTAGCGAGTAGACTGAGACTCTAGCGAGTAGACAGACTCTAGTGAGTAGACTGACTCGGAGTAGACTGAGACTCGGAGTGAGTAGACTGAGACTCGGAGTGAGTAGACTGAGACTCGGAGTGAGTAGACTGAGACTCTAGCGAGTAGACTGAGACTCTAGCGAGTAGACTGAGACTCTAGCGAGTAGACTGAGACTCTAGCGAGTAGACTGAGACTCTAGCGAGTAGACTGAGACTCTAGCGAGTAGACTGAGACTCTAGCGAGTAGACTGAGTGAGTAGACTGAGACTCGGAGTGAGTAGACTGAGACTCGGAGTGAGTAGACTGAGACTCGGAGAAAGTAGACAGACTCGGAGTGAGTAGACTGAGACTCGGAGTGAGTAGACTGAGACTCGGAGTGAGTAGACTGAGACTCGGAGTGAGTAGACTGAGACTCGGAGTGAGTAGACTGAGACTCGGAGTGAGTAGACTGAGACTCGGAGTGAGTAGACTGAGACTCGGAGTGAGTAGACTGAGACTCTGAGACTCGGAGTGAGTAGACTGAGACTCGGAGTGAGTAGACTGAGACTCGGAGTGAGTAGACTGAGACTCGGAGTTAGTAGACTGAGACTCGGAGTTAGTAGACTGAGACTCGGAGTGAGTAGACTGAGACTCGGAGTGAGTAGACTGAGACTCGGAGTGAGTAGACTGAGACTCGGAGTGAGTAGACTGAGACTCGGAGTAGACTGACACTCGGAGTAGACTGACACTCGGAGTAGACTGACACTCGGAGTAGACTGACACTCGGAGTAGACTGACACTCGGAGTAGACTGACACTCGGAGTAGACTGACACTCGGAGTAGACTGACACTCGGAGTAGACTGACACTCGGAGTAGACTGACACTCGGAGTAGACTGACACTCGGAGTAGACTGACACTCGGAATAGACTGACTCTGAGTAGACTGAGACTCGGAGTGAGTAGACTGAGACTCGGAGTGAGTAGACTGAGACTCGGAGTGAGTAGACTGAGACTCGGAGTGAGTAGACTGAGACTCGGAGTGAGTAGACTGAGACTCGGAGTGAGTAGACTGAGACTCGGAGTGAGTAGACTGACACTCGGAGTGAGTAGACTGAGAGAGTAGACAGACTCGGAGTGAGTAGACTGAGACTCGGAGTGAGTAGACTGAGACTCGGAGTGAGTAGACTGAGACTCGGAGTGAGTAGACTGACACTCGGAGTGAGTAGACTGACACTCGGAGTAGACTGACACTCGGAGTAGACTGACACTCGGAGTAGACTGACACTCGGAGTAGACTGAGACTCGACTCGGAGTAGACTGAGACTCGACTCGGAGTAGACTGAGACTCGACTCGGAGTAGACTGAGACTCGACTCGGAGTAGACTGAGACTCGACTCGGAGTAGACTGAGACTCGACTCGGAGTAGACTGAGACTCGACTCGGAGTAGACTGAGACTCGGAGTAGACTGACACTCGGAGTAGACTGAGACTCGGAGTAGACTGAGACTCGGAGTAGACTGAGACTCGGAGTAGACTGAGACTCGGAGTAGACTGAGACTCGGAGTAGACTGAGACTCGGAGTAGACTGAGACTCGGAGTAGACTGAGACTCGGAGTAGACTGAGACTCGGAGTAGACTGACACTCGGAATAGACTGAGACTCGGAGTAGACTGAGACTCGGAGTAGACTGAGACTCGGAGTAGACTGAGACTCGGAGTAGACTGAGGCTCGACTCGGAGTAGACTGAGGCTCGACTCGGAGTAGACTGAGACGAGACTCGGAGTAGACTGAGACGAGACTCGGAGTAGACTGAGACTCGGAGTAGACTGAGACTCGGAGTAGACTGAGACTCGGAGTAGACTGAGACTCGGAGTAGACTGAGACTCGGAGTAGACTGAGACTCGGAGTAGACTGAGACTCGGAGTAGACTGAGACTCGGAGTAGACTGAGACTCGGAGTAGACTGAGACTCGGAGTAGACTGAGACTCGGAGTAGACTGAGACTCGGAGTAGACTGAGACTCGGAGTAGACTGAGACTCGGAGTAGACTGACTCGGAGTAGACTGAGACTCGGAGTAGACTGAAACTCTGACTTGACTCGACTCTGACTTGACTCGACTCTGACTCGAATGATTGGAAGAATATTAAAATCCAACAGGAAGAATAATAACTGTTAATTTTGTATTTGTAGGAAATAAAGATGACCAAATAAATTGTGAGTAATTTGTATGAAAGGACATGCCATTGTCAATTTGACTGTATCGGCATGATGAAAATATGCACAATCAAATGAATACCTGCACTGCAAAAATGCTTTTCTTACTAAGTATTTTTGTCTTCTTGGTTCCTGTCAAAATATCTAAAGATTCTTAAGCAAAGATTAATTTTCTACATATGAAAAATTACATGAGTTATTTGGGGGGGGGGGGGGGGGGGGGCACCTCATCGTGCCAATGAGGTAGGAAAAATAATCTTGTTTCTGTTTGCATTAAGACTATTTTTCTTATCCCACTGGCAGATAATTTTACTTGTTTTAAGTAAAAAAAGCACTTGCTTCCCCCAGGAAATAATTATTCTTATATAAAAAATGTAACAATTTTGAGATATTGTACTCTGTAAGAAAGCATTTTTGAGTGTATGTGTTTATGAATGCTTTAAAAAGGAGGAAGAGAGCGAAAGAAACTCTGTGAACCTAACCTGTTCTCTTCGGTAAACCCAGAGTAAGTTACCATGGTAAATCTCAGAATCAATCCAGAATCATATCTAGATTCACGATGCATCGATTTGTTGTCCCAGCCCTAATGCATGATTCAACATTGTCTTGATTTGTGCATTAATTGTGATCTAATTATAAAGTATAAATGAAATGATCAATTTAAACAATATGCACTTGAAAAATGTGACTCAGTTTTCATAGACTAATATAACACCAAAATTCCCAGATACTTAGTTGGCCTAAACTTGACTAAACAAAAACAGGACAAGGTTGACTAAATGTGATAAAAACTAAAGTACATTTGACACGACTAAGACTAAATTAAAAAAATAGCAGACAAAATGAACACTAGTGCTTTGAGAATACCTGCTTCTTCATTAAAAGCACAAATAAAGACTATAGTATTGAGCAAAAACAACTGGTTAGGGTTCCTCTGTTCACCTTTCCTGTGGATGTGTTGATGAGTTTGGCCTGGCCGTCGACTGAGCCCGTCAGAACCAGCGTTCCCTCTTTATTGCAGGCCAGAGCCGTCAGCGGCCCCTGGTGCCCGTCGGGCCCTGAGGAAACACACACACACACACGGGTTCAGGGCCAACAACACACTTACAACCGCCCTATTGATTGAGTCATCTCACATTCTATGCTTTATAGGAAGTAAAAGTGTTGAAAGCACAACTTCACAGCATTAAGAGTGAATAACTAATGATTTCTCATACAGAAAGCTCTAGGACAATAAATCGATGCATCGCGATTCTCTCTCCAATCCAACCTAACCCTTATTTTCTAACAGCAGATGGCGCTGTAGGCTAGCTTAGCCACACGCTCTAATGCCCATGAAGAAGAGCGCTTGTGTGTTCGGGTGTGTGTGATACGTGTTCGGGTGTGTGTGATACGCGTGTTCGGGTGTGTGTGATACGTGTGTTCGGGTGTGTGTGATCCACTGAAGGGGTTAAACGACTCGCACCTCAGAGTGCTTTAATGATGCGATATTAATGTTAACAGCGCACTACAAACACCCTTGTAATTCACTCCAACCTATTCGAACTTTATAAAATATTATTTTATAGAGGATTCAAGAAGTGTGTGTAAGGAACTGGAAGCCGGCAGAGTTTGGCTGTTTCTGAAGCACACACTCCCTCTGCTGTTAGAAACTACGCTCAGAGAATGTATTAATTGACTTAATTGGCAATCCGGAGCAATCAGAAGAATGGGTTACCTTTGATGACACAGATGGCATTGCCTTGTTTTAAGTCCCACAAACGTAAACTTCCATCCTCGTATCCCACAATCACTCGCTTCCCTGTAAACACACATACGCTCAGTACAACTGCATCATCATCATCATCATCATCATCATCCTCATCTACATCATCATCATCATCATCATCATCATCATCTACATCATCATCATCATCCTCATCATCTACATCATCATCATCATCATCTACATCATCATCATCATCATCATCATCATCATCCTCATCATCTACATCATCATCATCCTCATCATCATCTACATCATCATCATCATCATCATCATCATCTACATCATCATCATCATCATCATCATCATCATCCTCATCATCATCATCATCCTCATCATCTACATCATCATCATCATCCTCATCATCTACATCATCATCATCATCCTCATCTACATCATCATCATCATCATCTACATCATCATCATCATCATCTACATCATCATCATCATCATCTACATCATCATCATCATCATCCTCATCTACATCATCATCATCATCATCATCATCATCTACATCATCATCATCATCCTCATCATCTACATCATCATTATCATCATCATCTACATCATCATCATCATCCTCATCATCTACATCATCATCATCCTCATCATCATCTACATCATCATCATCATCCTCATCATCTACATCATCATCATCATCATCTACATCATCATCATCATCCTCATCATCTACATCATCATCATCATCCTCATCATCTACATCATCATCATCATCCTCATCTACATCATCATCATCATCATCTACATCATCATCATCATCATCTACATCATCATCATCATCATCTACATCATCATCATCATCCTCATCATCTACATCATCATCATCATCCTCATCATCTACATCCTCATCATCTACATCATCATCATCCTCATCATCATCCTCATCTACATCATCATCATCATCATCTACATCATCATCATCATCATCCTCATCATCTACATCATCATCATCATCCTCATCATCTACATCATCATCATCATCCTCATCTACATCATCATCATCCTCATCATCCTCATCTACATCCTCATCATCATCATCCTCCTCATCTACATCATAATCATCCTCATCATCATCCTCATCATCTACATCATCATCATCATCCTCATCTACATCATCATCATCATCATCATCATCCTCATCTACATCCTCATCATCCTCATCATCATCTACATCATCATCATCATCCTCATCATCTACATCATCATCATCATCATCATCTACATCATCATCATCCTCATCATCTACATCATCATCCTCACCGTCAGGGAGGATCTTCCCGCTGGTTGATTGACAGCTCGGGCCCGGGAAGGTCTTGCACTCTCCGCTCGGGATCTTCCACATCCACACGTTCCCATCGGCCGAGCCGGCGAGCAGCACGGGAGCGCAGGAGTGCCACTGCAACCACTGATGATGAGGAGAAACACACACACACATCACACACACTCCCAAACACGAGCAACGCACACATGACCTGCATCACTCACCTCCAGGTCTCCCACTTCAAAACTCCAGATCTCTTGCTTGCTCTCCACGTTCCAGACTTTAATGAGGCCGCTCATATCTCCAGACGCCACGAGCTGAGAGTCCCAGCTGAACGACACACACGTCACCGAGTCCTTGTGCCCTGCAGGATACACAATCAGGTGTGTGTGAGGACACGTGTGTGTGTGTGTGTGTGTGTGTGCTGAGAGTCCCAGCTGAACGACACACACGTCACCGAGTCCTTGTGCCCTGCAGAACACACAATCAGGTGTGTGTGAGGACACGTGTGTGTGTGTGTGTGTGTGTGTGTGTGTGTGTGCTGAGAGTCCCAGCTGAACGACACACACGTCACCGAGTCCTTGTGCCCTGCAGAACACACAATCAGGTGTGTGTGAGGACACGTGTGTGTGTGTGTGTGTGTGTGTGTGTGTGCTGAGAGTCCCAGCTGAACGACACACACGTCACCGAGTCCTTGTGCCCTGCAGAACACACAATCAGGTGTGTGTGAGGACACGTGTGTGTGTGTGTGTGTGTGTGTGTGTGTGCTGAGAGTCCCAGCGGAACGACACACACGTCACCGAGTCCTTGTGCCCTGCAGAACACACAATCAGGTGTGTGTGAGGACACGTGTGTGTGTGTGTGTGTGTGTGTGTGTGTGTGTGTGTGTGTGTGCTGAGAGTCCCAGCTGAACGACACACACGTCACCGAGTCCTTGTGCCCTGCAGAACACACAATCAGGTGTGTGTGAGGACACGTGTGTGTGTGTGTGTGTGTGTGTGCTGAGAGTCCCAGCTGAACGACACACACGTCACCGAGTCCTTGTGCCCTGCAGAACACACAATCAGGTGTGTGTGGTGAAGTATCCTGAGTGTGTGTGTGTGTGTGTGTGTGTGTTGAAGTGTCCTGAGTTTGGTGTGTGTGTGTGTGTGTGTGTGTGTGTGTGTGTGTGTGTGTGTGTGTGTGTGTGTGTGTGTGTGTGTTGAAGTGTCCTGAGTTCTGCTGACCAGTGCATTCGAACAGCACGTCTCCGTCACACACACTCCACACGAAGGCCCGGTCGTCTTCTCCACCGGTGACCGCGAGTGTGTTGCTCACCGGGTCCAAACTCACGCAGAACACAGAACCTGCAACACAAACACACACTCAGCAGGAGCTGACGGAGGTACGGTCTCTCTCACACACACACACACACAACACAATC